TGAGCCTACACCTCAGCCTCATGCGTCTCCCATCAAGTTGTCTCCACGCCGTAGAAAGGCGGCGGCTCCGAGGAGTCCCCGTAAGGGAGTCTCATTTACGCCGGTGAAGAGAAAGTCGGAAGCCAAGCGAGGCGTCCGTTGGAGGGATGATGAGACAGAGTCAGGATTGGCCGACTTTGAGAAGACGCCCAAGAAGTTTGAAGCAACGCCGGAGCACACATCACCAGAGAAGGGACTGAGAATGCCTGCTCTTCCCTCATACCTGAGGACAGCATCACCCAATCCGGGTAACTCGGGCTCTGACGACAGCCCGACTCTGGAACTCCCCGAGTCTTCATCCATCCCTCCCGCCAAACCCAATAGGTTCCAGGCTGGCTTCCTGACCAAGGGCCGTATCTCGTCGATAGGTTCTGGATCACCAACAGTGCCAATCCCGACCATGTCTTTGCCTCTCGGCTCCTCTCCGTCATCAGACAGCGGAGATCAAGTTGCTCCGTTGCGCGCCCTGGACGTGCACCGTTCTTCGAACTTGTCGCCTCCGGCTTTCCGCTCTAGAATCGCGAGAGCCAGCCCTCCTCCGAGAACGTCACTCTCCGGCAATGTCTCTGCCGATGAAAACAACCCCCCTTCACCGCAGGGGCCGTCCGGATCAGAGTCAGAATCACCTAGCATTGACCCTAGAAAGATTCGATCGGCCTTGCACTCGATGAAGAAGGTCCGCGGCGAGCACCGACGCGTGTCGTCCATAGGAGGGACGGCGGCATCAAATGCAAGACGTATCTCGTCTGTGAACTCAATCGGCTCCAACCACCGCGCGTCGGCAAGCTTTTCCGGCCCTGTGGCTAGCAGCACGAACGGAATTTCTCGATCACGACGAGCCAGTGCAGAGCGAAGGCTCTCACCGCCCATGGTCTGCTCACCTCCTGACTTCAGGAACGATCGGGCATTCACGGCGGGGCAAGCAAGGCGCATGCACTTGGGAGGCAGCTTGAGGCTGGAAGGAGGAAGCCCGCAGGCGCCTCAGCACCGAATGGCTAGCGCCGACTTCAAGAACCGTCGCATCACAATCGGGAGCCTGGCAGCGACCGGTAAGATCGAAAAGGGACATGCACCTAGGCCCAGCGTGGCAGGTTGGCGTTGATTTTTCATTCTTTGGTTTCAATCATACCCACTTGGCTTGGTAGTTGTCGCAATAGAGGCGATGGGGGTGTCTTTGGTTCACCTTCCCTGTTAGGATAGGATCCTTGTTTTTTTCCCTCTCGTTGATGGGCGTTGGGCACACTTCGGATCTTAATCTCAGAGGGTTCTTTTAGTTTGTTTCCAGCCGGTTGGCAGGCCTCGCCGAGGGCCATTGTATGGTTGTTGTATCAATAGGTTCGGGGTAGAGCATATATTCACAGTTCATCTGATAACGATTCTGAACTCAGCAACTCCGCTCCCCCGCGTTGTGCGAGTGGTATAATGGTGACAGGTGCTGAGAAACAAATCGCCGGGTTCACAGTGTCATTTTGCCAAGCAGCCAAGACACGCCGCTCCGAAGATCCCACACAGGGCATGCTGGGAAAACGTGGATGCAGACATGCAGCGAGCCCTGAGGTCACGTCCCTCCCCGGATTTGTGCCAAGACTGACGCACGTCGGCATGCAACGACAGTCCGATAATGCGAATATGTCGTGTGTGAGACTCGAGTGAGTTGCGAGAGTTGAGACTGTGAGACTGTGTGACCTTCGGGTCTGTGAGATGAGAAAATCGAATTGGACCTTCCGTCGGCGCCATGTCATGCTGCTAAAAACAGCACACTTTGTACCAGCAGAACCTCATAGTTTGGAGCCTCATGATGAGACTGAACTCAACGGCCGAGTTCTGCCGAATGATCCGCTCACTGTGGTCAATAAGGCATGAGGCCGTGGGAAGCAGCAAGGGCAGCGCACAACGCCATGAGAGTCAACGGTACTCCGTACCCTCATTCGAAACGAAAACGCTCGCTGTTTCATATAGTTTGTGGTAATTGATGAGTGGGCTTCTTCGTTTCCATCGCCGATGAAAGCCAGGAGCCAGGAGCCGGGTGAGGCATTTGTATGGGAAATGGGAGGAAAGACAAACGAGATTTGAATGCAGACTTGCAGGAGTTTTTCTCTCGGGATGAGGGGGTACCGGGCAGAGTTCGCCGCCGGGCGCGTGGTCAGCTTTGGAAAACGCGAAGGGCTAGAACACCGTCAGCTGTATATGTGTTGCAGGCGCGCGCCGAGGCTGTCTCATTCAGCAGGCCAAGACAGATCGGATGGCAGATGGAAGTGGCCAGCGAGAGTAAGAGAAGACGGAGCTCGCGACATCATTATCATCATCGTCATAATCAACACCAACTCTTCCTGTCTCTGTCTCTCTCTATCTCTCTCTATCTCTCTCTCTCTCTCTCTCACACACACATACTATCAACAACATCAAGTGCAATAAGACGTTAAACTAAGCACCATCTCCGTTGAAGGGGCGGAATGACGGAGTGGGCCAGCGATAAAGGCAAAATAAGTGATGGCATTACCTAAGTTCCCCTGGCATGGCCCTGGCGGTAACGTAATGAGATTTCCCCTTTTCCTAACAGGACCGTTGAGCCAAAGGATGGTACCCCCTCTCGGTCTGCCACTCTGCCACTCTGGCACTCGTGCCACTCACAGCCGTTCCAGGGGAGACCCAGGTCGGGGTAGCTGAGAGTTCTGCGACGGCGCAATCTTATTCCAATCATGCTTATTCGGCTGATTTTCACCAACCGATGCTTATCGCGTCGACGGCAGAAGGGGCGGGTAGATTGCGATATGTGATGAGCACGAGGCGAGTGGCTGGCCGCTGTCGAGAGCTCTCTCTCGCAATGCCACTATGCCTGGCATTTGAATCACTGATTGATGATCCCTTTTCTCCCATTTGCCTCTTTTTTTTCTCTCTTCCTTTCTTTTGTTGTTGTGGTGTGTACCCTATTACGGATACCACCACGGACACTTCTTCGATTCTCTCATCTCTTATCTCTCTCATAGTATGGAGACCGGCTGAGTCGGCATCGCGTTTAGGCCGTAGTTGAGGCGACTCTCGGGGCTATCTTCAGCTCATTGAACGATTGAGCCCCTCTCTTGCCTCATCGACGGCGATGACGACAAAGTTCTCGGAGACATAGATCAAATGAGGAATGTGAGAAGAGGCCCTCTCAAAAGTTTCACGGGCGCAATTAAGAAACAAGCTGGAAAACGGATGGTTCAGTCGACCCCAAAATCAATACGCGCGAACTTTTGCAAAGGTAACCCCAGTCCGCCTGCTGAGGCGCCAAATCCGCGAGGTCCCAGTCTCTATCAAGAAGTTGAATGCAACCGGAACAGGGTCCAGGCCGGAATAGCCGCAGCACGTCATGACAGGTCAACACCTCTCCCAGTCTCATTCACTCGCAAAGTCGGGTGATTTCACTCACAAGTCACAAAACTCACTTTCAGTCACTCATCGCTTGGTTGGCAAGGCAAGGTAGCAGTTGGGGCCACAGGGCAGCATCGCCAAGAAACATCGCCAAGATGGCAGCAAACAGCCGAAACCCGCTCAGCTGGATCCCGCGTTGACACAGAGAATGTGCAAAGAGACAATGGAGTTGCGGCGGCAAGCGGCGTGATCCCCCCTTCAACCCCCCCTGTCCTGTCTGTTCCCCTTCGCTTCAGCCTTCATGTCCCTCTTTCTCCTCCACCTCCCCCCTTGGGATTCTTCCCCCCAGAAACCTAGAAAACTCTCTTTTCTTCCTTCCCGTCTTGGCCTCGATCTCGTACCTGCTGCGGCCCCAGACTGGGCATTTTCTGGGCAGGCATGGAATGAAGCCATGCCCTCAGGGGATTGAGCAATCGAAGGGTTCGCAAGGTCGCAATCGCCAACCTCTGGGCGCGCATGCGGGATTGCGGGTGGGGACTTGGCGGTAAAGCTTGTTTCCATGTGCCGAGGCGCATCAAGAGCCAAGAAGACCAATGGAAGAGACGGGATGGTCGTAGGTTCGCCGTCAGAACACCACCACCACGCCGCCGCAAAGCATGGGTTCGCCTGCTTGCTGTCTCGACGTACCAGCCAAACCCTCGACCTTTCCCGGAGCCCCAGCGGACTTGGACCGTAATGTGGCCTGGCTGACTCCCGGAGCCATGTCCCGGAAAGGTAGGTGCTTTCAACGTCGACTCGAGAACGAGGGACCACTCTACCACACGGCACCACTCAGGACCGGCACCGGGGCTATCGCGAGGGTGGATGGATCATGGAGTGATGGACTAGAATCAGATCGCTTTAGACGAGAATACCTCGTCTCGCCTCTGGATTGGTTGGTCCCGCCCTCCGCCGGTGCTCCTCTCCCCGCCGCGGACCCCCCTCCATCAGCTCGGCTCCATTCATATCATCTGCTTTTGGTGCCTTGCTGCTTGTTTCCTTGGCCTTATTCCCCTTTTCACTCATCTCAACTTCCGGCCTTGGATCCAAGAGCGGAGGACGGCGGTGCGTCGACATTCGACAAACAAGCCTCGACTCGTTCGACCCTTTTGCCCGACCTGCTCTTTTCCATCTAGTCTACAGCTGCTGGGAACTTTGTGCCAGTGACAAGCTTTGGTCAAAAGTTCCCATAACCCTTCCCACCCCCTGGCCGGGAATAGGCTGGTCCTTGGGATGGGTTCCATCTTCCACCATTCCATGAGCTCCATGGCGGAGAGACAGATGGAGCTACGACCTTAGTTGAAGAGCTCTAGACACTAGAGTCTATCAGTCCCCTGTTCGAGACTAGCCTGCCCGTTGATGGCTGCCGCAAGTAGTCAACTGCTTGTTGTTCCTCCTTGGTGATCTACACACTACCGACTACCGTCCCTTCTCATCAAATCTAGCCCCTCTGTTCTCTCGAATCATGACGCGCAGTATCATCGTCCTTGTCGGCGCGATATGGAGTCGCGACAGGCAGCCTTGCTATTGCACGATGCTCCCTCTTGGAAGGTGGTATTCCCCCACGGCTAGCTTGTGCCGCACACCATGATGGGCCCTCCTTCACGAGTTCCCCCCTGCCTGTTGTTGTTGTTGTTGGCCTTGACATATCCAGAGACGGTGATGTTGGCAAGGACTGCGAGTAATGTCGCCATGATCCATCCTATCGCCCCGAGTTGCCGTCCCCGGTCACAGAGTCCAGACACCATCTTCATAGACTGGACGATGACGATATAAACCATCCCAACTCCCCGTTGATCATCCCATCTCTCCTCCTCATCCTCATCGGTCATCTTCCAGTCCTCCTCCTCGGTCCTCATATCCTCTTCTCTGCTCCTTTCCCCGGCTTCACTAGCTTTCAGTCATCTCACAATGACTGGCTCATCCTTCGTCTCGGCCCTCACGGCCGGCCTTGCCCTGGCCTCCTCCGTCGCCGCCCTCCCCGCTGGTGCCCAGCAGGAGAGAGGCTTCACCGTCGAGCAGATCAAGAACCCCCGCTACGTCCGCTCCGGTCCCCTCGCCCTCGCCAAGGCCTACCGCAAGTACAAGGCCCCTCTCCCCGCCGACCTCGCTGCCGTTGTCGCCAATATCAGCTCTGCCGGCCTCGTCGAGCGTGCCACTGGCAGTGTCGCTGCCAACCCCCAGGAGTACGATGTTGAGTACCTGAGCCCCGTCCAGATCGGCACCCCGGCCCAGACCCTCAACCTCGACTTCGACACCGGCTCCTCCGACCTGTGGGTCTTCTCGACCTCCACCCCGGCCAGCCAGCGCAACGGCCAGACCGTCTACGACCCCTCCAAGTCTTCCACCGCCTCCCGCCTCTCCGGCGCCACCTGGTCCATCTCCTACGGTGATGGCTCCAGCTCCAGCGGTATCGTCTACAAGGACACCGTCACCGTCGGCGGTCTGACCGTTACCGGCCAGGCCGTCGAGGCTGCCTCCACCGTCTCGGACTCCTTCACTTCCGAGAGCGACCTGGACGGTCTCCTTGGTCTCGGCTTCAGCAACATTAACACCGTCTCGCCCACCCAGCAGACCACCTTCTTCGACACTGCCAAGTCTAAGTTGGACTCTTTCCTCTTCACTGCTGACCTGAAGCACGGCACGGGTAAGTACTCGCTCACATTCTCACTAGATGTGGTATCAAGAGATGGGACAGCTGATACTAACACATTGAACTTATAGCCGGAAAGTACAACTTCGGTTACATTGATAGCACCGCCTACACTGGTTCCATCACCTACACCTCCGTCAACTCCGCCAACGGATGGTGGCAGTTCACCTCCTCCGGCTACCAGGTCGGCTCCGCCAGCTTCGTCTCCAGCTCCGTCACCGGTATTGCTGACACCGGCACCACCCTTCTCCTCCTTCCCCAGGCCATCGTCACCGCCTACTACGCCAAGATCACCGGTGCCAAGTACGACTCTTCCCAGGGTGGTTACACTTTCCCCTGCTCCGCGACCGTCCCCTCCTTCACCTTCGGCGTCGGTACCGCTCGCATCACCATCCCCGCCAGCTACATGAACTACGCTCCCATCAGCACCTCCACCTGCTTCGGTGGCCTTCAGAGCAACGCCGGCATCGGCATCTCCATCTACGGTGACATTGCCCTCAAGGCTGCCTTCGTTGTCTTCAACGGCAGCACCAAGCAGCTTGGCTGGGCTGCCAAGACCCTCTAAATGCTTAGAGAACGCAGCTTCTGAGCAACAGTCATAGAAGAGAGAGATGGACGATTCAGCAAACAGTAAGCCCGGGTGATCTGGATTTGAGGACTGGACAAGAGAAAGAGAACTTAGGGTTGTTTGCTTAATTGTTCATCAGGACAAACCATGTGACGACTTGGTCACTACTTCTTATACATAATTCTTATTCGTAGCATATTGGCGGACATTTATGAGCGATGATGACGGAAATATAGTTGCATTGTCTATATTGAACAATATGACTCAGCATTTGAATGATGATTAGATCTGTCCCACCCGTTTTCCGTGTGCATCGTCGACAATGGCCTTTTCCGTATGAGTGATTCGTTTAAAGATTAGTATCGCTCCTTACTGATCCTTTTTCCGAAGTGCCAAGAGTTGAGTCTTCCCCCTAGACGCGTCGTGTTTGGACCGCTAAAATGCAATTGGGAGTCGTCCTCCACAATTACAGCTCAACTCATCGCTCACTAGCACCCACTTCCGGCCGCACTCTCCCATCTGAAATTTTCATTCCTCCAATACAAACCATGTTAGCATATACATAAGGGTTCCTTGGCACGCGGCAAGCCATGGGTTATGCCAAGGTCCTAGCATCTCTCCCACCCAGGTCCTAGAATCTGCCCAGAGCGGCGCGGCCGTCCGGCGCGCTTCGTTGCGCTGGGCGCTGGGCAAAAACCCAAGACAAGGAATATGGGAGTGGAAGAATATCGTCTCTTCTCGGGCTCAAGGAACCGAGGTGCAGATGGTGGCTGATGAGAAGGGGGAGAGCTGGCTGGCATCGGTGGATGGTTTCAATGCAGGGCTGCTCTGCCAAGGGAAACGAACCAGGGGAGGTAGGTGAGTTGGTGAGCCTGACGAGGAGGAATGATTTCACAGTGAGCGAAACTCTGCGCGAGAACGTCCTCTTCTCATCTCTTTGATCATCGCAACGGGACGGGCTTCATCACAATCAGAACCATGTCTCTCGTCTTTCTGAGGATCAAAGTCCTCCAATGAAATGGGGGATTGGGGGCGAAATACGACATACTGAGTTTTTGCGATGACTCTTGGCACAACTTTGAAATGAGGGTCGAATATCTACTGTATGATGATCACTGTAGAGCTCTACCGTAGAAACTCACGCCGTTCGAACTTGCGTTAGCCCGTGCTAACCCTGCTAGTGTTCCGTACCTAGCCCTTTCGGGAGGTCAATTCTCGTGATTATTTAGCAGCGCTATACCCAATACGGAAGGCGGTAAAGGGTTATTTTTCTATTTTTTACTCCTTCCTAATTACCTATTCGCTACTGCCCACTGCTTACTACTACTTACTAACCGTACCTCCGCCCATCTCTACTACCCCTATCTTTTTACGAATTATATTACTAAATCTATTACTAATTATACTATTAATTATACCGTTAATTATACTTCTATTATATACCTTATAATGCCCTTACGACGGGCCCTTGCCGAAAAGAGCTCGAATATTATAAAAGAGCTAGAGCTAGAGCTAATTATACTTTTAATAGCTAAGTGCTACGGGCTAGCTCTTGCCCTTATTAAAAACTAGAAATATATATTATAAAGTAGCTTAGTTAAGCGCTACTATTACTATTATACTTACTAGATTAAAATTAACTTTTTAATATTTATAAAATATTATTATATAAGGAAGCTTAATAAAGAGGTAATTAACTTATTAAGGTTATATTAGGGCGAGACTAAGCTTTTAGGAATTTATAGATATTTTATATATTAAAAAGCTATAGATTAATTTAAAGTCCTTTAAAATATAATTATTATTTAGTATTAAAACTATGATTTTATTATTAATTAATTCTTTAATTATACTTATTATTTATAATAACCTAAGCTTAAAATAGCTTTTTATATTTCTTTTTATTAATAATATAATAAGGGGAAGCTCGTTATTATTAATTAGTTTAAAAAGAACGCTAAGTAAATTTTTACTTAGTAAAATTTAAGTAGTAAATATATTTTTATTTTTTTTCTTAGTTAGTTTTGCGGTTTTTAAAATTATATAAGGATTACTTAACGTTAACTTACTAAGTAAATATTAAAACTACTTATTAAATATTATAAAGTTATTAATAGCTTTTTTTTATTTATTTAACGAGTTAATTAAATAAGCTTAGCTAAAGTAAAGCGGTTAAACTTTAGAGATTTATTTAGAAGTTTAACTTATTAATTTCTTAACTTACGGATTTTTAACCTCGACGAGACCTTAGTTCTATTTAAGTATTTTAATAATTATATATATAATAATATTAGGGCTAAGATTATAGTTAGTAAGAATAATTATAATAACTAAAGTAAGTAGTAAATTATATTTATATTTTATATATTTACTAATAATATATAGCGGATTAAACCGAAGATTATTTTTTATAATAAGCTCGTAAAAAAAGGAGGTTAATTATAAAAAAAGAGGGCTAATTATAAATTAAAAAAGTAATAATTAAGTTTAATAAGACTATTTATAATAATAAGTACTTATTTAAACAATAGATTAAAAAAGAATTAGTAATACTAATTAAGGGTAATAAGTATTTTTTAGTTATAGACGTTATTATTTTTTATAAAATAGATTCTATTTTTATATAATTATATTAATATAATATTATACTTTACTTTATTTTATTAAGGACTACTTCTCTTTTTTAACTTTTTAATACCGTAATTAATAAGCCCTTTAAGTAATAGCTTTTAAAAATAACCGACGCTTATGTACTTAATAAAAAAAAGAAAAGTAATTAGTTAGTAAAAAGAGCTTAAGTAAGAGACTAATATAAAAATGATAATAATTATTTAGATAGTTATTATAATAGCTATATAATTAGTTAATAAAAAGGGCTTAATAATTAGCTAGGCCTTTTTATAGTACGGAATATTTATTTAGCTTAATAATAACTAAGTTAATAAGATTTAGATTAAAAACGTACTAGCTAAGGCTATTAATTATATTAAATAAGAGACGTTATAAGAGGAGATTTTAGACTATATTATTTAAAATAACGGGCTAGAGTATATTTTTATAATAGAGGATATTTATAATAATATTAATAAATAGTATATTAACTTAATAATTTAATTACTTAGTAATTAGGCTATTAAAAGCTAGGGGCTACTTATATACGTTTTTTAATTAACCCTTTTACCTATTTTTACTAATTTAATATAAAAAGCTTAAATCCGTTAAGTTTATTAAAATAATTATTAAATTAGATTAATTATAAGTCTAGCTTCGATAGTAAGCTCTTATTAATCTAATTACTTAAGATATTAACTTATATTAAAATTATATAGCGGCTATATTTACCTAAATTAGGTAGTATTACGGTTCTGCTAAACTGCTAATAGGGTTAGCACGGGCTAACGTAAGTTCGAACGGCGTGAGTTTCTACGGTATTTCATTTATAGTATCTAATGCTGTGTTGGACGCCGGAGATGGAACTTCGGCACTCCAAGGTTGGATTGACTATGACCAAGGGCCCCGTAATCGTCCGACGGTCTCCCGCCGTCTTCACAGAACCCTTCAGTGCCGGGGACCATAGGCTTTGTCTTGCCATTGCATTAATGGGGTGCCATCTGACGTGAAAATACCGGGGAGGTGATGTGCAACAACCTGTGGCTCACCACCTAGACCTAGCCAATTGCGTTTTCTCGATGCGCATCTCTCACCATCCCGTCAACGAACCAAGTTCATGTGACTCTTCTCCACCGTACATCAGCTCTAGATCTGGAAGTCGAGGACGACAACTTGGCGATCTTTCGATGAGGTCGCCGACACGGCAATGGCGAAGATGGACAAAACATCTTCCTCCTCGAGTCTTTTGCTGTCCACGAGCGGCTCGCCCATAAAGCCAACACCACGCTAGACCTCTACTGACTCAGCATAGTCTTTTGCTTTCGATGACTTGAGGATACGGAGAGATGAATTGGTCGGGTCGGGTAGAATCAGGAAGAGGTCACCAGTTTTGCTGATGGCTAGGCGGCCGCGTCGAGGACTGGGTACTGGCCCGATGGCACGTTGAGTCCATTGTCCTGCGCAAGAGTTCTTGTTAGCTGAAATTCTTGGGAACGATCATAATGTATAAGAAAGGCTGTGTGTCGTCATCTTGCCATTAGGAGATCGATAGTAATGCTTCCATAGATTCTCTGCATCCATCGTGTCGCGGTTGAGAACATGCACCCCACCGTCCTGATCGACTGCCTGTGCCTCTTGATTTGTCAAACCTCGCCCCTTGGGGATATCAAAGGCAACAAGACCGGGGCAATCGGGTGTGATCGAGCCTCCATCTCTTAGCAAAGCAATGGTCTTGTCGTGCCCGTTCTTCCATGTGTAACCCCCGTCGTCGCTATAAGCATAACAGATGTTATAGTTATTATCGGCGCCATTGGGTCCGGCTTGTTGCTTGTGTTTCGTATCTAGAGGATCATCCCATCCGTCATAGTGTACGAAACCGCGATACACCCATGTGATATGTAGCTTACCATCACGGTAGTCCATGCCATGAACGTATGGGTTATTCTGGATGCCTTTCAGGTGTTTTCCAGCATACTCATACAATCCTGTTGCGGCATGGTATATGTACAGGAGATCATCTCCAAGACCAGCTTTGCCATTCCTTATGGAGAAGTACATGTCGTTGCCCAGGACACCGAAACGTGGGTAGGTCACGTAGCCGAAGTTCTCATGAGGTTTCGTAATGCCAGGAACGTAATCGAGAGTCAAAGTGAAGACGTCTTTGGTCCATCGGGATAGTTCTGGATCACTGGCAATGCCCTTCATGGAGCGCCGATACCTCAAGCTTGGGAATCTGTTAGCGACGGTTATCCTTTTCTTATGGTTATGCAACTAAAAGCTGTCGCATGGACTGAGAATAAGAAGCAATCCTACGTGTCACAGTGATGGTCGTAAGATAGGTGGATGGTGCCATCGCCTGGACAGATGCCCATCTGCACGGTATTATGGCCATCGTCAGTGGTCTGGTGATAATCGTCGAAAATTATCGTTTGCCACTCAGAGTTGGGTAGTTTACGCCGATTCATGCAGACGAAGAGAGGTTCTCGCTGAGTGTCATCGTTTAGACTTGAGGAAGAGCAGCTACTGTAGAACACAGCATATTGCCAACCCTTGAAGGAGATGATGGCGTCCTGCTGGAACGCGTTCCCGTTGAGAACGCATTTGCGGTGAGCCGGGTCCCGGCCCAATACAGTGACCCCAGGGGTTTGAAGACGATGCACCTCGATGAGTGACATACCGGCTCGTCAGCGCAGGCAGGTCAGGGACAAGCAAAAGCGGGGTGACTTGGCTCGAGCTGGATTATCTTGGCGTTGGATGTGAGAGGTGGCACAGGAATGCGCGGGCTTGGTGTGGCACGATTGAGGGAACGGGAGTGAAAGGACAAACGCAGAGGCTCATGGAGTGGCTTGCATATGTTTTCAACGTCGGGTCTTGGAGGACGAAATTCTTCCGTCCCGTCTCTATACGAGAATCGTTCGCGATGACGATACAGCGACGCGCCGACATTGAGTCGAGATTGTAGTACCAGATCAAAAGATTCCCGATAGTTCATGGACTAGGATAACTTCACAGTCCACTTGGGGAACTCTAATCATGTCTGAAGGCCACGAGGCAGCCGTGAAGGATGCGCGCCCGAGTCCCATAGCCCTGGCCTGCGACGGTACGGCACATTGCGGACTATTGGTTCATGGATAGCTACAGCTGCAAAAGAGGCGCCAACAGAACCAGTGCAGGGCATGACAGGCCTAACAGGGCCCGAGGACTCGGGTCCGGAACCAGACAGACATAAAGGGGAGGGATTGTTATGTGGCATCGCATGATATTGGCCGAAGGCGACCGGAGTGGCTCACTTAGCGTGTGGTGGCTTGAACATATCTGGAATATCTACAGCTACATGTACACTTGTTGACGAATATGAAATTGAGCCAACTATCAAATACGAGAGTAAGTCAACGTACGTGCCAGAGAAAAATTGGAAGGCTTCAAAAATAGAGTGTTGACAGAATCAGACTAGAAAGATCCGGTCCTTCAGGTCAGAAACGCGGATTAATTTTTCCCTCAAATGAATGAGCTTCATGGCTTGTTGCCAAGCCTTAGGATCCAACGCCACAAAGTCGGGGTGGTGTCGCGAAAGATGGGAATGGCCGTTGGAACCCCAGACTCAAATCGTGTTTGGCGGGTGGTTGGTCGAATCACGATCTCTCTTACCTTGGCTGGAATAGTCGTCAAGGTTATCAAAAAAGTGCCAGATCGAGTCTGAGCTTAGACAACAAACGAGACAGATGCCCAACAAGAGTCCAGACTGTGCCTTCGCTGAATGAAGACATCTACGGACGAGCTTAGTCTGAATATGGTCAAGCGTCAACTGAGAGGCGCGATCTACTTTGATAGACTCTTTCTTCGTCTCTTGACAAAGTCAAAATGTTGCTTGTTGACTTGCTGATGTTGTGTTCGCCCATGAGGTCAAGTCTGTCTGTGCCACTTCACTAACCTCCTCAGGCTCCTTTTGACCACCCCCGCGATCTCCAACACATCTCCACCTCTCCAACCCCATTTCTCCTACCCGCGTCCTTACTCCGCAGAATCCACCGTACGGGGATGGGTCGACAAATGGGCTACTGGTTGGAGCAGAAACCAATCCGGGACGTGGGATGAAAGTGGGAGGCGCCGGACCAAGTAGGCTCTACGGAGTACCTACTTATCAAGAGACGGCCTACATAGTACTTAAACTGTCACTGGTCGTCAGAGACTCTTTGGCCCTTGGTGTTTGTGTTCCTGTAACCCTGTATGGATACATCGTCTCATGCCCGGACTTCCCTGTCAGCGCATACGCAGTGAAGAGGAGACTAAACCAAGTCCAGCGCACTAAATGTCTGCTCCCTGGTCTACACTCTATTCGTACAGCCAGTCATGGCAGTCTAACTCTACGGCCCACGTCCTTATTTCTTTGCCTTTTTGCCTCGTCCCTCTTTCTCCACCTTCGCCAGTAGCCTAAATGCTGTGATGGGGGAGACAACCAGAGACGCATCTTCCAGCAAATCACGCGCCTTGCTCGTTGCAAGGAGCGGTCCACATTTCGGCGACGGAAACCACAACGAGAATAGCCACAATTCGGAGAGCCGTTCGTCCTAGCAAGCATACGGATACTTTATTCTTGCTCCGCTGTGCGTACCGAGTACTCTGTATCCTATCCCGGGGCACCTGGGGAAGGACGGTACTCTCCTCTGGGGCCCCAGGGAGCCACGTCTATTACTATTAAGCTTGAACTGTCAGCATGCGCCCCTGGTCTACAGCCAGCAGGCGGTTTGTTTCTTTTATTGCTATGATGAAGAATGTCAGGGCATCTGGGAGGTAACCTGGGAGACAAGGTCATCCATCTTTTCATCTCATTACCTTTACGCCGCATTCAAGCTTCCCCACAGCTCCCTTGTCAAGTTTATGGTTTGTATACCTAGATGAACCGTGAGAACCATACTTTGAGACTACCGGCCGCGACGAGCTCAAGGTCATCACGTATCCGAAGAGTAGGTAGGATGCGCACGTGGGTGCTTCCATCTTTCACCAAAGTCTTTCTATGGCTGCGATGTTGGTCTCTCCTGGATTCGCACACTCGTAAACCCGAGCGTCGTTCCTGTCGTCCATCTGACTACGGAGTACTGCGTAGAGTGCTGTCCGTTCTGCCTTTAGCCTGCCAAGCCTAGTTTCTGAGACTAGCCCAGCTATGCCATGCTTGTTGCTGCATCCCATCCGGCCACCTCGATGGTCGACCACCACCACCACAGTTACCACACACCCCCCAAGATGCTTGCCGTATCCCACCCTTTGCCGGAAGCCTCCAATTGCACGACCTGGTCGGCTGATCGCAAAACCGAATAGGTTCCCCTCTCCCAAGAGCCAAGCCGTTCCTCTGCCGCCCCCGGCGGTCCAGCACCATCGGGCTGCCCTCTCCGTCCCTTCTGAATGGCGGAAAAATCTCATGGACAATTCACCGTCCGTCTTGGTACTCGTTGAGGCTCGGTTTTCTGGGGTTTTGAAGCACAGATGAGCGGACGAACGAGCTACACTAGACAAGATAGGATTGCAGCAGGGGTTCTTTGGGTTCTGGACGGGCTGGGAAACGCACAGGATCGATTGCGACCATGGCTCTCCGAACAGTTACTCCTCACCAGCACCTCCAATCCCCTTTTCCTCAGGGTACTTTTTGCTACCTACTATGTACATGTGAGATGGCAAATTGCTGACTATTCTGGGAGTGAGGGGTCCCCGGGTTTCCATCCATCTGGGGAAAAGACGAGGGTCCAGATCAGCAAAAGAGGGAAAACACCATTAGAGATTTCCGATATATCAGGGCCGGCTGCCCACACCCTCAAATCCTCGCTTTCTTCTCTTCGTCGCTTCGTCTCCTCATCCAGTCCTCAGCCCATCACCCACCCCTCATCACATCTTGAGCTGACTCACCTTGGCTCGAGATTCAACCATCACAGGGTGTCGTGCACATCGGCCACCAGTCATTCAACTGCGATAGCAACACCAACCCCGCCAGAGCCTGGCCGTGTTGTGAAGAAACCAACCGCCCAACATGACGACGATGCAAAAGATTCTCAAGAAGATCGTCCACAATGAGTCCATGGAGACGGACCCCGCAGAAATCTACGGCTGGAGAGTCTTCGCGCTCGCCGCCTCCGCCTGCTTCGGCGCCATGTCATTCGGCTGGGATAGCTCCGTCATTGGTGGTGTCGTTGTCATGGAGCCCTTTAAGAAGTAAGTGTCGACTTGGACAGCATAAATCATCAAGTACCAATAAACTGACTTATCCAACCATAGCGACTACGGACTCAAGGATGCCAAGCCCGTGGAAACTGCCAACTTGACCGGTAACATTGTGTCCACTCTCCAAGCCGGATGCTTGGTCGGTGCTCTTCTCGCCTCTCCCATGACAGACAGATTCGGTCGCAAGTGGTGTCTTGTTACTGTCGCTGCCATTATCCTCGTCGGCGTTGTCCTCCAGGCTGTCTCTTCCGGTAGAATCGCCGCCATTTTCGTCGGTCGCTTCATCGCAGGTCTCGGTGTCGGCGGTGCCTCTGCCATCAACCCTCTCTACGTCTCCGAAAACGCGCCTCGTGCCATTCGCGGTCTCCTCACTGGCATGTACCAGCTATTCATCGTGACAGGAGGTATGATTGCCTTCTGGATCAACTACGGCGCCGAGGTCAACTTGACGGGAAAGACCATGTACATCTTTCCTCTCGCCATCCAGGGTCTGCCCAGTCTGCTGCTTCTCATCTGCATGCTCTTCTGCAACGAATCTCCCAGATGGCTGGCCCGCCAGGACAAGTGGGAAGAGGCCAAGAAGATTCTCGCCACTCTGCGTAACTTGCCCGAGAACCACCCCTATCTCGAAGATGAGTTCCAGGAGATTGTTGACCAGCTCCAACATGAGAGACAGCTCATTGGCAACGCCACCTTCAAGAACCTGCAAAAGGAGATGTGGACCATCAAGGGCAACCGCAACCGTGCTCTTATCTCCATCTTCCTCATGATCTGCCAGCAAATGACGGGAACCAACGCCATCAACACCTACGCCCCTATGATCTTCAAGAACCTCGGTGTCACCGGTCGCTCCACGCCTCTTTTGTCAACCGGCGTCTACGGAATCGTCAAGGTTCTTGCCTGCATCTGCTTCTTGCTCTTCATGGCCGACTCTCTCGGCCGTCGTCGCTCGCTTCTCTGGACTTCAATCGCCCAGGGCTGCTGCATGTTCTACATCGGTCTTTACGTCCGCATCTCCCCACCCATTGCCGGAGAGCCTGTGCCAGGTGCTGGCTACATGGCCCTGGTCGCCATCTTCCTGTTCGCCGCATTCTTCCAGTTTGGCTGGGGTCCGGCCTGCTGGATTTACGCCTCTGAAATCCCGGCAGCTCGCCTTCGCTCCCAGAATGTCGCTCTTGCTGCTGCTACCCAGTGGCTCTTCAACCTCATCGTCGCCCGTACTGTCCCGAACATGCTGGCTACTGTCGGTGCTCACGGCTACGGGTAAGTGGTTTCTGGTTAGACCTTCCTTCAAATGAACATTCAACTAATGTTTGTGACAGAACCTATCTCATCTTTGGAAGCTTCTGCTTCTCCATGTTCTTCTTCGTCTGGTTCTTCGTCCCCGAGACCAAGGGTATCTCCCTCGAGCACATGGATGCTCTGTTCGGTGTCACCGACTATGACTCTGACAAGAAGTTGAACCACGACAACCTGAGCGAGACCAAGGGCTCCCCCGCCGAGATCCAGGTTGAGTCTACCAACCCCGCCCACGCCCACGTCCGCAAGGAGTCGGCCTAGGCGGTTATGTTCGGAAGGAGACATGATGCTAGGATTTGTGAGGAGATGCTATAATGTCAAATGACGGAAAGGTGTAAGCGGGTTCGATCTTAGATGAGATTTAGAAAGGGGTTGAGATGCGTAGTGGGAAGTGGCCCCTAAGCACCTAGTTGCGCCATTTGATACCAATCTTTTGAGACCAAAACCACGCACGGCAAAGGTCTATGACCATAACTCAATAAAGTTTTGAATTCACCATAATGCTTACTCGCCAAGTGAAATCCCACTGTCAGACCTTACACGCCCTAGGCTGCGAGCGATCGCCCTCGACATTCGTGAGGTACCATACAAGTCTCAGGTTCTGCCCTGCTTCCCCTTGACCAAATTCGGCCTTTACTCGGTTCATCGCCGTGAGGAAGCACCGACTAGGATTGCTTAAAAGCGACTGTATAGTTCGTATCTCTTTACAGAACCACATGAAGCCTTGAGAGAGATAGGACTATTGAAATTACGCCTATAGAACGCTGCCCATTGTTTGCTTGCAGCCGGGTATTGCTGGGTTTACATCATGCAACGATCGCTGGTGAAATTGACCATGAAACGCCGAAACCCATCGGGGTCATCTGGATTGCCCCAAGATACCAAGTCGAACCATTCGACTCGTGCCCATAGTCCCCTATCCTTTTACCCCCGTTGCTGAGCCGCAGCATGTTGTCTGGTCTGGAAAGAGACCCCGAGTAGACGCCTAAAGTAGCTCCATGATAACATATGAACGAGAGAAACATATCAGAACACGCTCGCAAGTGTATCGAAACCAAACCTCCGTCTACTGTCCTCCTGGGGCGCCCGCTCCGTCAAAGATGATGAGCGGCCATTGGCCGACGGGAGCTGTGACAGAAGCCATATCGGCCGCTGTCGCCGCCTCAGTCACAGAAGTGGGATCCCTAGACCCGCCGCCCAGAGTCAACAGGGCATTAGCGCTGTATCTATCTTGGCTGTCTGCCATTGCCGCTGTCCAGTCGTGCCAGGTATTCCCTTGTGACGCTGATTGTCTCCAGAGGAGCTCCGCCGCAGCCGCAGAGCCGGCCGGGTCTGCAACATGCTGAGTGGCTTGGGATGCGAACGCAATCAGTGGATTGGTCTCAGCCGTGTTGTCCTCCCCGTTTGTGGGCTGAGTCGCCGCAGGCGTATACGCGTATCCATTGTTTACCTCGAAATTACTTGTCGATGCCATGGTGTTGGTGCTTGGTGGCTGCTCGGTGTAAGCTAGGGAAGGGTATGGAGTTGTCCCATTCTGATTCTCCGCGTCAGCGTAGAATGCCTTCGTAGCCGCTTCGTCGGCACTTGCAGCCAGGGCCTGCGCTGCTTGAGGCTGGGACGTAAGCTGAAATGGTGACGCCTCTGCCGTTGATGGTTCGGTCTTGATCGCTGGAGCAAGTGACGACGAGTCCTTTTGTTTTTGGTCGTGTTCAATCCAGCTGATTGTCCTTTCAATAATAACACTGATTTCGTTACTGATACGTGCGCCAGTTCCTAGATATGAGCGGTTAGTCTCAAAAGTTCCAATTGATATATCCAGAAATAGGACTTACCCAGTAACGAGACAGTCGCATTGATGATCTCCATCCAATCCTTCATCTCCTCTCGAAGGGTTGCGATCTGATTAGGCGTTGCCTCGAACCTCCGTTCCCAGTGGGCGACCAATGTGGTGAAAATGGCGGCACCGTAAACTGCCATTTGGTACCACGTGGTATCGAGAGACTTCAGCTTCACGAGGCTCTTGACAGCATTGAGCATGTGCGCAGCAGTCTCTTCGCATATGC